ATTCAGAAAAATGGATGCAGAGCCTGGAGAAACTGGATGTTATTTTTATAATTTGTTCAGGATCTTCTGAAAGTGGGCACAGGACTTTTCCTTTCCTGCATGCCGGCTCTCGCCCCTGCAGACTGAGTAAGCCCATAACTGTGGCTTCCTCAGGGTAACTCCCTCCGACTCTCACACTCCTGGGTCTTGGCTGGGATTTGGACGGACACACCCTCTGATGAAACGGTGAGCTCTCTGAGGGCAGCAGAAAGGCCAGAATTTCTTTGCAGTCTCTCAAAATGCCTGGCACAGTCCTGAGGCTGCAGTGAACATTTGCGAACACAACTGTGTTGAACTCAACCCAGTGTTGACTGAGCTGTGCTGGGTGGGTCACTGTGGCCAGCCTTTGGGCGAGGGTGTTAGGGGAGCCTAACATGATTGAGAGAGGAAATTAACCTTGGCCCTACCCACACTAAGTGGAAAAAACACACCCAGGGCTACGTGTTTTTGCTGATTTGCTCCCTTAATCTCCACCAGGTAGAGGGTATCATTTCCTGTTTCTGGAGGAGGAAACTGAGGTTCCCAAAGGAGTCATTTACTCCAGGTTCCCAAGGAAGAAGAGAAGCAAGGAGGGCAAAGCCACATCTGCACGGCTTCCTCTTCACCCATCAGGGCCCATGCTCTCTACCTGCCCACAGGTCTCAGTGCAGGGTTCAAATAGACTTCTGTTTGATCAAGCAAATAAATGAATTAATACAAATTTGCTACAACACAACACAAATCACGATTTGTTTTCTAACAGAGGCATGGAGTATTATAGGCATGCCAAGAAACAAAGCGAATTGTCAAAGGACCCAGGGGATGTACCCACTAAGGGGTTGATACAATAAAATAGGAAGTCAGAGACCCAATTGCAAAGGAAGTGGAGATGATTAGGTCTCCAACATAGGCATCTCCTGTTCCATCACCAGCTCAGTTGGAAAACTCCTGGTGGCGACCTCTCTACCGCACAAGGCCATCCGACTGTGGATAGTTGTCGATCTCAAGGTTTTCTTTACCCTGACTCTGAAACTACTGCCCTGGATCTGCTTAGCCTAAGTCTTAGCCTTAAAGGATTAACCAAGTGAACTGGTTGGTTGAGTGAAGGTCCATGATTCCTGGGAGAACACTGCACATTCCTGACTGTTTGGTGTTTCCACATTTTCCCTAGGCCATTGTGGGAGGAGGGAGGTGCCTACTTGGAGAAGAGGAAACTGGCTTTGGTAGAAATGCTGGGGGTGGGGGCAGGATAAAGGAACAGCTACATCTCATTTGGGCTGCCTCTGGTATAAAGTACTAGAGAAATGTGAAACATGGAGACAAAATAAGAACAAGATGGAATCTTTGCAAAAAGCACCTTTAAATCAATCCATTTTTGAGGTTCCCAGAACAGAGAAAACTGGAGTCTTTGGGTTGATTTCCATGTTTGTTCTGTTTCAGGGACTTCTTGAATTCCAGCTGGGCCAGGAAGGTGCATGGCCAAAATATCCAAAGAATGTCTCTTATTATAGGATGTTCAGCCCAATTTGCACAACCAGGAAGTTTTGATACTTCTGGTAACATCTGAATATAAAACTAAATGTTCAGGGTGGAGTAACTTAGTCCTAACCAAATTTGGGGATCTTGCATGAAGAGAATGGACAAGAGAGATCTGAAACTGTTAAAGTGGAGCGCTTATACAAGATAAAAAAATCAAATTTTAATCAATTTTCTGGACTCCTATAGCACAATGACTGTTTCTTCTTTCTAGCAGTCATGGTGCAACCCTGCCAACTTACTCGGACAGGGCTTGTCCTCCCCAGAGAATTCTCGTGCCTAAGTCTTGTACACGGACAAGGCCAGAGGTTCGGTCTTCCCCCACTTTTTTTTGTTTCTTCCACAGACTCCAGCATAGAGCCAGGCACATGACTTCAATAGACACTTGTATTTCTCATTTTTATAGCATCAGGGGAAGACAGAGGAGGACAAGACTGGTTTATAAAGCAAAAATGGAAACAACCATAGTCATTTCATCACTGCCCAAGTTCACAGACATCCCAGTGAGCACCAAGGGGCCAGGGAATAGGACCCTCGGGACAGGGAGTGGAAGCAGCCTGAACTCAAAACTGTGGGTAGTGCCCATGAGTCAGGCAGAGATTTCACGTACCTCACAGGGTCTGCACAGTGACAGCAACTCTACGATCTGTCCACCTATGATTCTTTCTGCTTGTTTCCCAGGGATACTTGCCAGGAATCCAGTTACTTTCAACTTCTGAACATGATCACATACATATTCCTAAGCTTCTGCTATCATCTTCCATGACATCCTTCCAATCCTAGATTCTCCACGTATGGGCTATGGGACCTTGGGGAAGCCACTCCACTTCTCCGTTTCTCCAAGGTGGGCAATACTTCTTAGCTTGAGGAATGGCAAGGGGATAGGCTATGAGATGTAGCAGTGTCCAGTAGGATGGCTGGTGGACCTGGAGACCCCTGGTCCCCTCCACTACTCTCCTGTGTCTACTTTGGTTCCTACTCTCTGGAATCCTGCCCCTACACTGCCTATTTTTGTAGGAATGTTTACGTGTTTTTGTGTGTACATGTGTGTCTGTGTGTGTGTGTGTGTGTGTGTATGTGTGTGTGTGAGGGGGCAGGGAGAAGGGCTTAATTGTGTAGGGGGAAGGTGCATCTAAGTACTTCCCAACTCCTTCTCTCAAGCCATCAACTTCTTCACTGGAGTCCCTGACAGGGTGAGAATTAGCTACCAGCCTCCCCTAACCACAGCACAAGGTAATGAGTGCCATGGTTATACCTCGTCCCCCTCTGCTGTGCTATCAGAAGGGAGCTAGTTTCCACTCCAGAAACATAACTCAGTATTACATAGGCTATGTGTGTGTGTGCACATGTGTGTGTGCGTGCACGATGGGGGTGCAGTGTGTGAATGATTTCTAGGCATTTGCTTTCTGTGGGGGACTTCAGGAGACTCTTCAACAGCCCTCCAGATCGCCCTGCCTGACCCTGTACCCACCCTGCACACACACACCCTCTGCGACCCGGTATTCTCCAGTGAGTTGATCTCATTATGGCAAATTTAGTTACAGCTGAAGTCTCCTTGTAACAAAGATTATGTCCAAGCCCAGAGTAATGGAACCTAGTCGATTTCATTAAAATAAAATTGGTTGCAATGAATAATTCAATAGGATGATTTTGTTTTCTCATCTCCTCTTTGTAGTATTGATAATGATTTTTTTTAAATTGGATTTTTGTTTAGGAAGACATAATTGCCCATAATTCCTGACAGCCCGCTCCTTACCAAAGTGGAATAATTGCCCCATGAAGTCCCTTTCAAACGCTAAGACTGGAAAAGTCTTTCTCTCCTCTCCTCACATTAGTCGCAATAACCTTTGTGTGATTTTTAAGCACAGCTGCTCCCTCACTTCTTGCTCATGTGAGAGTCTGAGTGTGTTAATAATTCCCTTGTTTGAATGATGTTTTTGATACATTTCTAGGAAGGGTTGCCTGTGCTGAATTTGGAGTTCCTGGCTCTACTGCCAGCCAGCCCTGCCAACTCTGAGCAGGATGTTCTCTGTCATACAGATGTGGTTCTTGAACACTGTCTCTTAGTGTTGTTCATCGTATGTAGCAATGTGTACACGTATGAGTGCGTGTGCACGAGTGTGAATCTATAATCAATCAAACACACATTTCCTGAGCAGCTAGTCTTATCTGGATCTTGTACTTGAAGAAGGGGACAGAGATGACTAAAACTCAAAACAGTTATGAAAGTACCAGCAGCCTAAAGGTAGCCAGACACACGAATAGATTATTAGGGTTTGTGCAATTGGGTGTAGCCAAAGATAAGTTCCTCAAGTACAGAGATGGCACAGGGGTAGGATGAGGCCTAGACAGTCATTTATTTACCCATTCATTCATTCACCAGGCGGGCACTGTCCATGAGAAGCATCAGGGAATACCGTGCTCCCATTTCTCTCCTCAGGGCAGTCATGAACAAATGCAAAGGAAGAAATAGGGAATCTAATAAATGTAAACATACGCAAATGGGTAAATGAGAAATGATCAGATAAACACTGTACAATAGGTAAGTGAATGTACCCATCTTATACCTCATCCAATGGTTTCTTACTGGGCCCCTGAAGAAGGTCACAGCTCTCTTTTATCTAGAAATCAGGTCTATCCCCCTGACCCTGAATCAGGGAAACAGTATAATGACTCATCTACAAGGCCAGGCGGCAGGCTGGCCTCAGAGGCAGCCACTGGGCCAGGCGGTCAGAAGCACTGAGTCGTGTCTCTGGGAAACGGGAGTCTCGGAAGAAGGCAGGTGCTTGCTCAGCAGGATAATTGGAAAGGGGGCTCTGGGGACAGCACAGCCATCCCTAGAATCACATAAGCTCTGGTGGCCCCAACACTCTTAGTCCCTCAACTGAGCGGAGAGTCCTTTGGGGAAGAACCCTGGAACGTAAATAGTGCATTAGGGGACTGGGGAATGAGTCACAGCTTTTTAGAGTTGGGAAGGTCCTTGGAGATCAAGCTGATCTACTCTCTAATTTAAAGATGGGGAAATATGGGGGCCAGAGAGGTGGGGAGACTGGTCCAAGGCCACACAGCAAATTCACAGGAGAGTGTTCAAGGAGTACCCCCCCCCAACACACACACAAAATAAATTCTGGGACTCCCCCAAAAGAATGTGTTCTTCCCCACTGAATTCCAGTGGTATGTCCAAAATGGAATTGTTTCCTAAATGCGAATTATAACAGGTAGGGACATAGGAGGACAGTCTTACCCTGATGTTCCTTCCCTGTGCTTAGCTACTCCACATCTAATCCCTGAGAAATGATACCCTTGAGGCTCTGGAATTACATTTGGCTAGAGGTTTGGTCACATGGCCATATCCAATGACACTACCTTTGAGGCAGGAAGCTCTGAGGGACAGAGTAGAGATTCAGAATATTGGCAGGAAATGCCACGCATGGCTGGCGTCTTACCTGGGATGCTGCCGGCTGGCCAATGATGACCCAGCCTGGGCATTGCTGGTCTTGATGGGAAACTGAAGCATTGGATGCCCACTGATCTAGGAACCCTTGGGGCGTGTAGACACCACAGTCCTTGATGCTGGTTTTTTGTTCAAACTCCTCACATACCCCATCACCATCGTGGAAATAGCACCGGCTGGGTTCATCTGCAGGAGAGACACGGAAGGGGGAGAACAGAGAGATATTGGTCCTTTGGTCTCAGCCATCAGTAGCAGCTGTGGAACTGGACCAGAAGCACTGTTAAAGCCCATCACTGATCATCACAACGGATTATTATTCAGCCTTTAAAAAAGAAGGAAATCCTGCCATATGTGAAAACCAGAGCGGACATGGAGGGCATTATCGTAAATGACATAAGCCAGTCACGAAAGGACATATACTATGTTAATAATATTGTACTGTACACCTAACATTTTAAGAGGTACATCTTATGTGTTTTTTACTACACACACACAAACTCACAAACACGTCCACCTTCATTACCCCAAGTGAGCCCACAGCAAGCTGGTGAGGGAGGCATTGTTATTTTAATTATCATGTTAGTCTTTCAGATCAGGAAAATGAGATCTCACGCATCGTTAATAATCTGCCCCAGGTCACACAGTGTGTTAATGCCGGATCCTGGTTTCGAACTCAGGTTTTCCCTTCCCAGGTTCTAGGGACATTACCTGATGTCACAGAACTCCCCAGTCGCAAACTGAGGTTTATTTAGCTCCAAAGAGGATTTCGGTTTCACATGAAGAGTGAATTTATATACAAGAGAGGCTGGCTCCAGTCCCAGCTCGGTAACTAAATTGCTCTGTTACTTTAGACAGGACTCCTCCTCTCTGGCCTCAATTATACTTACTATAGAGAAGGGGGTTAGACCCCTGGGATGCTAGGAGCCCTTCCTATCTAATTCTCTAGGTTTTAAGGGCTTGTTAGATACCTTGGGCATTTCAGGTAAGCGAACCAAGCCTTGCCCATTCTGCAATAATGGGCCTCATCTTCTAAGGGGTGACTTTATTTCTAACTGACTGAACTGAATCAGCTTGTGAAGTCAGCACTCGCCTACAACACCTTCAAGAAGCCTTCCCTGTAACAGAAAGCTCCTGGGTCAAGCAGAAATAAGGCTGGGATTTCTAGGATGCTGACTATCTGAAAAAGGAGTCTTTGAATTCAGAGGCAGCAGAATGTTGAGCCCCTTCCAAGCTCCAAAATCCCTTGTTTATTTCTGCAGTTTACATAGTGAAATACTATCGAAAGAGCCAGAATAAATCAATTCATTACAATTCAATTATTTGAGGATGGGTCGGAGCCAGTGCGGACTCCAGTGACCACTAGCATGCCTGGCAGTTCAAGCAAGGGACGAACACAGGCTCAGCACTTCTCTGGAGCTCCAGTGTCCTGGTCAGTGTGGCCAACTCACATAGAATAAAGCCCAGGCCCAACCCAAGAATGACCAGCCATCAATGCAGACTTCACTCACTAGCAACCCAAGACAGGGAATTGCAAAGACCATAGGTTTTGGCATCAGGTAAAGCCACTTTCCAATGCTAACTCTGCCATATATAAGTTGTGTAAGACTGAAAGAAAATAACCTGTCTTCTCTGAACTTCATTTCCCTCCTCCAAAAAGGAATGGAGATAATACTTATCTTGTGTGGTTGCAGTGATTTCCTGAGATGGTATGTACAACACCAGCGCCTCTCCCATTTTATCTATTGGAACCCTGAGAGCCCTAGCAGTCGAGGTGTTCAAAGAGCTAGAAGAAGAAGCCAGGCCTTTGACACCTAGCAGAGGGGTTTCTATGTGTGGTATCTACAGAATAATGACTGCACAGCCTCCTGTAGATACGGTCATAGGGTTGCCTGACTCTTGGTAACACCTTACTCCTTTTCTAATATGAAGAACAGTAAGGTAAGATTAAAATAAGATTGTAGAAGGTCTATTCTTTAAGAAGACAATTTATTCCCCCATCAAAGAGACTTCAGAGTGTCAGGAGTTGGGGCTAGAGTTGGAGTTCTCATGAAAGCTAATTTCTTCCTGATTATGTTTAAGACCTTAATAGATGTCTGCCTAGAATCAGCGGAAACTGGGAATGGAGGAGAGAAAGAGATAGATATAGGTGGGTAAATAAGTACCTAAATAGATAATTAATATAGACAGATTGATATAGACAGAGTTAAAAGAGAGATAGGAGATAGAGCTAAAGACAAGAAGAAGAGAAAGGGGAGTGGAAAGATGCCTGGTTTCTGCCCCAAGATCTTGCTGACAAAGCTACTGAGCCCCCCTTTTTTTAATAACATCCTTGGGCTCTGCTATTCATTTTTCTAGCTAGGGTCCCAGGGGCCCTTCAGCTACATCTGCCTACCTTCATCTGGGGAATTCTCTCTCCATTCCTACTCCCATGCCTCATGCACTGAAGGGAACATGGTGAGGAATGGAATACAAATGTGTGGCCAGGAAAAACAAAGGTAGTGACAACAAAACAAGAGAACAAGACTGGCCTTCTTGTTTTCATTACAATTTGCTTAGTTCTTCTTTAATGCTTTATGCTGAGAGGAGCAGATT